GGAGGTGGTCTCTGAGGATTTTAGTGCTGAATCTTTGATTACCCAGTCACTGTTGCACATTATAATCTTTTCCTAGAGCTGGAACTCTTATTTTTATAGAAACTAGTTTTGCACAAAGCCATGTTATTTGGCAATGGAAAATCAGGAACTCAAAAAAAAAAAAAAAGAAGAGTATGGAAATATATCACATGGTTTATTGTTGTTTTTTTAAATTAATCGTTTTTTTAAAAAAGAGTGAACAAGCAAGCAAAAGGAGAAAAGCAACAAAAAGGGGGGGGGAGTTGATATAGAAATATAGTATCTGTGGTGAAGGGAAAACACCTCCTCATGAGTAAGTCACAGCTCTGGACTCAGTGTGCTTGCTAAGCGTAAGGGCCATTCTGAAGACAGGGTAAATGTTGGGGATGGGGAAGAAGGTTGAGGGAGATGGTAGATACCAGAGGATGACAAAGAGAAGCCTGTGGAGGTAGTGCCTGCTGGAATTACCCTTATCAGACCTGTATAAGCAGACTCCCCCACTCTTTAGTGCTGCCTAGCTGGGACTCAGCTCATTTTCCAGGCACAGAATACATCTGGTTGTTCATATTGGACAGCCTTACTTAGAGGAAAGGAAGAGGCCAGAGACTTCCTAAGTAAGGAATCTTCTATATGCTCACAGCCAAGGCTGGAAGGCCCATTGAGACTGTTGGTGCAAGAGGACAAGCCTCAAACTGTAGCTGTCAGACCCATTTACTTCCTTGCTTTGATATTTTTATTTGGAGAAATTACTTTGAATTCTTGGTTTGAAATGCTAACACTCCAAAGAGTCTGGTTTTGATGACAACCCCTGATCCTGAATGCTTACATTACATTACATACATGCTTATTTCTACATCTTTGGAGAGTCCAGTGTTTGCTTTCTGATACTCGCTAGTCAGTTTCCTACCTCTCTGTCTACAAGAGTCCTGCCACAGTATCCATAAGCAGACAAAGGAATTACAGAGATTATACCAAAATTGGTTGACTGTTCTTCAGCACTAACAACTACTACTTTGTAGAAAGGACTCCACTGTAATGCTTTAATCAAAAAATATTGGAATTCTTAATTTAAAACAGGGGTTTCATTTCAAACCTAAGCATGGATTTCCAAATTTAAACATCTTAACGTTCTTGTCTTTTTATCCATTGGAAAGTAATTTCAGTGGAGAGATTTACATTTGATTTTAATGCTTGGAAAGGATTAAAACAAAATCTCCCAGAGAAGCATGGATGAAATCCAATCTTACACAGGAGGATTTATGCGCATGAGCAGGAGTTTCTCTTGCTTTTCTCTCCTGCTCTTCAAGAACCCACTGCTCAGCCCAGAAATTCTGCACAACCAGCATCCAACCTTCCCTTTCCTGGGGAAGGGATTATCTGGACATGTTACAATCTGGTTGGACTTTTCCCAAAGAGATATATGAGAAATAATATTGGATATATCTGGAATGCCACTGATAATAATAAGAACAGTAATAATAGAAAAGAAAGTGGCTATGATTTTTCTTGACCTGGAGAAGCTTTTGATAATTTGGAGTGGTCTATTATATGAAGATAAATTGTAGTTTGAGTTTTCTAACATGGATACAGGGTATTTGTAATAAACCAGAAGCCAAGATGATTGTAAATTGGCATTTATCACAAAACTGCATTATAATGAAAGGGACAAGGCAAGGTTGTCCCTTCTCTCCTTTATTCTTATTAGCATTAGAACCATTGGCAAAGAAGATATGGCAAGAGAATTTCAGGAATCGAACTGGCGAATCAAGAACCTAAGCTAAAATTATATGCTGATGATGTCCTCAGAGTTACTTATCCACAGAGCTCTTTAGACTCAATAATGGAACATCTACAGCAATTTGATATATTAGGATATTGGATTAACAAGGGTAAATGATTACACGGAATTTATCTGAAAAGGAAAATCATTATTTGCAACAAATAGCAGGGTTAAATATCACTGCTAAATCAATTAATTACCTGGGAATTTACTTAACAAAATATAATAAAGTTTTATTCAAGAATACCTATTCACAGATTCAAAAAAATATAATGGCCAATTTTCTCAAGATGGAAAAGTTAAACATCTCCTGGTTAGGAAGAATATCAACAATAAAAATGAATATCCTACCAAGGATCATTTTTTTACTTCAAATGATTCCAATAAGAAATGAGGAAAAGATATTGAATGAGTGGCAAACAAAAATAACAAACTTCATTTAGACAGACAAACGGCCAAAAATTACACTTTTTTTCATTTTGTACTACATGAAAGAACGAGGCAGATTGGCCATATCAAATCTTAAAATATTTTATCAAGCCAGTTGCCTGACTTTGATTACGGACTGGACTTTGTCTTATTACAGCTGGGTTACCTCTATTGAAGGAACAGGACTCCCAGAAAGCTTTTTGGTTAAATATAAACAGAAGTGTCCAGTCTATGAATTAGTCCAAACTAATCATCCCTTGATTCAATATTAGATACTTATTTTAATGAAAGCAGATGCAGAAAAGAATTTGATCAGTGAAGAGATAATAATTCATATACTGTGTAGGCAATAAGATTTAACCTTTAACCAAACAAAGGAAAGGTGAAATCTTTTGACATTTTTTCCTTAAAATGGTCAGAAACACATCACTGGCTCCAGTATCTTCAAATAAGTAATATAGTTCAAAAGGAATTACAAAAAACAAGGGACTTTACCAAATTTGAAAAGCTTATGACACAAAATTCAAAATACTTGTTGAGACTTATTTATAAGTTGTTACTGAAATAAGATTCAGAAACTGGACAAGCCAAAGATTGTATGATTAAATGGATACAGAATTTAAACAGGAAAAGTGATATGCAACAATATCAATGGAAGATAAATATCACATTTACTGTGAATATTAAACTCAGAGAAAATTGGTACAATTTTTTTCCTTGGTATAATATACCACTGCTACTTACCAAATAGATTACAGGTAGTCCTTGGGTTACCACGGCAATTGGGACCAGGATTGCCATCGCTAAGTGATGGCCGTAAAGCGCAACGTCACGTGACCGCATTGCTTAGTGATGGCAATCCCGGCAGTCCTCGTTGCCATTGTAACCCCAGGACTGTGCAGGTCGTTAAGCAGGTAGTGGTGGGAGTCCCAGGTAAGGAGCATGTGGGGGGTGCCACGCAGGGGCACTAGTGTGGGCAGACTGGCAGAGGCCTTGGGTGAGGCAGCCAAGGCTATGGGAGGGCTGCCAGAGGCTGCGAGAGGGTAAGGGCATGCCGTGAGTAGGTGCGCACTACTGAGTGTGAGGGTGCTACAGAGTATGAGATCCATGGGACTCCATAGCAAGCTCCTCAGGAGAAAAAGTGGCAAGGGCAACTTACTGGGGCAATGTTTTCAACACCACCGTAACTTTGAACAGTCGCTGAATGAATGGATATAAGCTGAGAACTACCGGTATTCATATTCAAAAGCTACTGGAAATGCAATAACCATGCTGGATCCTTTTTGTACATTTGGTGGCAATGTCATAAAGCTCAACAATTCTGGAAGACGATCCGACTTGGAATGAAACATGTATCAACTTTTCTTTTTTGCCAGCTGTTCTTAAGCATCACTAAGCCTTATAGGGTGGGCTTTGCATATGATAACAGCTGCTGGGATTTTTCATGCTTCTTACTGGAAATTACATATAATTCCTTCTTTAGAAGAATGGCAGACTAAGCTATGAGATACACATCAATATATTTTAAAAATACATTGTATTTTTAAACAAGGCTGACATTGAATTAAATTTAACCTGAAAACCATTTATGCACTATAATTCTGCACATTGTACAACATCTGAAATTGGGATTTCTTTTAACATAAGGCTCTTAAAATATTAGATTTTGCCTGATTTGTTCTAATAAAGATAAGCTTTCCCAGATTAGATAGAAACTCTTGTTTTTTCTGACTGATGATTCTTATTTCATTGGCTGATTTTGCTAATTACTTATTCTTGATTTGATGGTTTGATTTTAATAATGGTTTAAAGTGCTAAATTGATATATGTTCACCTTTATATGCAGTACTAATCTAATATTATTTTAACATTCTTATTCATTTTTATACAGCTTATAATTTTTTTTTTTTGCTCCCTTATTTCTTTTACTTCTCTGTTTTCTTGGTTGCATTTTTAAAATCTATTAAAATAAGAGACAGGGAGAAAGAAAAAAGTATTGGGATGTATGATGCTCAGAGTTGTTTCGACTGGAGCAGCTTATAAGCCCTGAAAAATACATATCTAATGAGCATCTATGGATAAGAGTAGATCTGAACTTGGGTCTCCCCATATTTAGTCCAATACCTTAAACATATGTCACACTGGCTCTCTTAATACTTGCCACATTCATGCTCAACCTTATCACATCAAACTGCAACATCAGTTACTCCACATTTGGCAAATATGCCACATATACATTTAGCAATAAATGAGCCTAAAGATTGGAACAAACAGCTCAAGGAATATGACACTCTAGACAGACTCCTGTTACTAACAACAGTCGATATATCTCAGCTGGCCTTGGTAGCCAGTCAAATTTTTTTCTTGCCATATCCAGAGGGTGGTGACAGGAAGTTCTACCAATGTGATAAGCATTGAGATCCAGCATTACTCTGGGGCATGAATACTTGGTTTCCACTACAGTCATGGTTCTTTAAATGCCTCCTAGGCTCAGTGTTGCTTAAGAGAGAACCACTGCCATTATCTCATTCTGAAATCACCACAATGAGAAGATTATTTCCATGATTTTATGTTTTTACTGGAACAAAATTATGCTTTCTAACAGACAGTTGATGAGTGCATTGTGGGTCTCCGGACATCAATGATATCCAGGCTGATATCCAGGAGTTGATTTTCAAGCAATGTTTGATTTAACTAATTGTAACCAAGAGCTGAAAACCAACTGTGCAATGAAAATATATGATTTTGTGATAAAATTAAAAGGATTGCTTACTTGTATAGATAATATTCAGTTTGATCCACATGCTCACGTGAAGAAATGTTATCTATAAACTAAGGGAAAAAGTAGTTTAGAGATGACCCTTCCAGGTAATCATCAACAGTCTCCCAAATATGGCTGAACATAGCATGGTCAATCATAACTGTAATATACAAAGAATCACTTTAACTTGGCATACAGATAAAATTAATATAGCATTTTTACTTGATTAGCAACTGTTATCTTTACCTGAAAGGAAGACTATGTATTTTTCCCAAACAATTTATGTTTAAAAGGAAGTTCACTGAATTATGGTAATGAGGGCAGATTATTTTTTATGTTTAATCTTCTTTCTTATGATGAAGAAATAATCTTAAAATCAGGATCATGTTCCTTTCAAGTATATATGGTGATTATTATTATTACCATCATTATCATCCTTATTATTAATACATTATTAAATGATAGTATTATTAGGAACAAAATTCAGGAACATCCAGGAACTGTGGATTTAGGACTGGCTTATCTAGAGGCAAACAATAAATGGAACAAGTTGGTGCACAATAAAATACTTCTGTGCCAGTTTTCGGAACTTTTTATTCTATTTCCTCTCGCAGATGGTTTTCTGAGGTTCTTGTCCGCGGCAGTCAGTAATCATTCCACTACATTGAAGATAGTCAGATGTTATTGTGCTGCTCATGAAAATGCCTTCACTTGGAAAAAAAAAATGTTTTTACTTTTGCTGGTATCTTCTAGTATGCAGCTTGACTCTTTTGCCTACATAAATATGACACCCAAATAATTTAATTGGAATTGGAATAGAGGATGATTCTATATTCATTAATTCTGCTGTCTTTTTTAAAAAAAAATCTGGGCTAAAAAGACAGACTTTAAAAATGTGAGAAACTGGTAGCAAAATCTCAGGAGACAGAAGAAAGGATGTAAATGAAAGATGGGACTTGTTGCATAACTTGCACTGACTTTTCCCAAGGAGTAAAGTAAATTATAGAAACAAAATGAGATATTTTTCAGAATGTATGTAATTTATACAACTCAGCTTTTCAAAACAAAGCTATTACCTTGGCATATATCTTGTTTTTTTAATGCAAAATGTATATGGTCCCACTGGAAACCATCATCCATAATGATGGAATTATAAGTATTAATAATTTTCTCCTGGGACAATTATCTTTACAAAACTATATATAAGACAACATATATAAAGATATGAACCTTTAAATCTGTACCAGACATAGCCTCTCCTATTATGACTGCAATGCCATTTGAATATCATATATGATGACATTCTTGAAGAAATAGAACCCCTGATAAACCTTCAACTTCCAGAATTCTCAGCAATACCCCTAGTGGCTGAAGAATGCTGGAAGTGAAATTCACATTTCTGGAGAGCACCCAGGTGGGGAAGGCTGCAATTAAGTGAGGAGGACAGCACTCAAAGCCATGATACTTTACCAATGAAGATGGCTAGTCTTAATTAATTCTAAATTTGAATTAGGGACACCTCATTAAATAAGGTAATTATTTTCAAAGCCTGAACAGCTCTATTTTACAAGACACTTCAGACAGCCTTTCCAACATGGTACCCATACTGGATGGAAATTCTGGGAGTTGTAGTCCCAAACCATCTGTGGACATTAGATTGAGAGGAACTACCACAGGATATTCCACACAGCTGTAACCTGCCAGAGGCTGAAACTGAAAAGCAGTATCAAAAGCACAACAAAAGATTCTGTATAGTCACAATATTATTTAACTAGTATCCATTTATTTTTTATTTATTTATAATTCATATTTCTGAGGTTGCCCTACTTGTCGACAATTCTGGGTAGTGTACATAATTAAAAACAAAAATATAGAGCAACTAGCATAAATAGAAAAAGAAGATGTTATACCAGTGAAACATTAAAAACCTACAATGTCCCTCACATAGGAAGCCTATATCCTAAAGCCTGGGGACAGAGCCATGTTTTCAAGGCACATTTAAAGGAAAGCAGGGTCAAGACTATTTGAATCTCTAAATGGATAATGCTCCAGAGGTCAGACACCATTCTATATAAAGCATGCCTCCTGGGTCTCAGATGACATTGCTTGATGGAAGTACACCAACTCCTTCCAAACTTATGGAACAAGCAGAATCATTAGGAGACAGTCACTCAAATAACTTGGCCCCATGCCAAGTAGAGCTTTGTAAATGACAACTGGTACCTTGAACTGCACCCAGAAGCCTACTGATAACCAGTGCAGTTCATGTAGGAGAAGTGTTATATGGGCATAATGTGGCACACCCATAACTGCTCATGCTGTCACCATACTAAATACTACACAAATAATTCATAATTACATATCACCTTTGGGCCAATAAGACTTATTTTTCCACAAGTTTATCCTTTAGGAACAAATCAATTTAGGAATTGCCTTGATGGATGTGACCCTTATACACTGGCAGTGCTTTGCACAATAATCCTATTGATAGGCTTTAGAGAATGAGGAAATGGAGCTTGCTCTATAAAGCATTACTGCGCATCCAAGGAAGGCCATCTCTGCAATATATGAGACAACAGAGATTACAAAGAAGACAAGTCATACCAAGTCAATGTAGATAAATAGTTTTCTCAAGGTCTTAAATAGCTATCTCTGTATTAATGAAATGATAATGCATAGAAAGCAATTACATGCATTTAGCAATTCAACTAAAATACTAGTTAAAAATATCAAGATGATGATTTATCTGGATTAATTTTGCTTGATCCACATTGAATGTCATGTTCTTACCCGAGATAAAGTTAAAGAGCTGACCGGTAGTTTTTTTTCATAGGTTGTGTCCATCAAATTGGCTAAATCAGCTGCAGGGGAAAAAAAGCATCTTTAATTCTCACTCATTAAAGTTATTGGATGGAAAAACAAGAAATGCAAGCAAAGTTATTCTAAAAGCAGAGCTAAATAAACTGCCTCCTTTCACACTACATCTTTACTGCGCAATGGTTAAGGTGTCAGCTAGACCTGAGAACAAATAGGCTAAAGTAGACTTGCACAACTAGTAGAGGAAAAATGGCCAATTGATAAATTAAAATACCCATGGGCCGCAAAGGAATACCTGGTGCGCTGATTAGCTGTTTGATGGCTAGCGGAGCAGCAGCAGCACTGGAGCTGGTGATGTAGGTGAGGCCTGGAGGGATTCGGTAGCACGTCTGTCAGGCAGTGGCAGATCCTTCCTGGCAGTGCCAACACTTGGCAGCAGTGAATTTATTGAGGGGTTTTTTTAAAAAAAAAATGCCAGTGAGCTACACAAAGTTGCTGGGTGGGCTACATGAGGCTCACAAGATTTATGTTGACCAGGCCTGGGCTAAAGTCATCTCACTTGGAATCTCTTTCTGTGACTTTGGTCCAGTTATAACCTCTCTGAGTGTAAAGTATACTACCATGAGCTCCTGCAGGAATATAAAGGTAGTCTTCGTTTAGTGACCACAATTGGGAAGACACTGTGAGATTCCTGCTTGTTTAGCTGTAAGTGGCTGGTAAGGCTTGATACCAACCAACCAGCTTTACAGCCATATATATGTCAGAATGCAGCTCCACAAATACCGGAATTTTGTAATCTAGGCTATAAGAGGCTATGTATATAGATTAAACACATTTTAAAAAAGAACTTTTGGAATCACACATTTTAGGCAAAAAATCTTTTAAAATATAGACAAAGCTTTGGGTACTAAAAAAAATATATCACAGATTAATGGAGAAATAGATTAAACTGATGAATAAATATGGGCAAAACTGAGAGAGATCAGAAATAGGCATGGATCGCTTTCTCTCACGTAGTTGAGAATTGCCAAAGCTTTTACCTGAACACAAAACATGCTCTGTTCACCCAAATACAATCAGCCATACCAGTTTAAAAAAACAAAACATCAGTTTTATATCAGTTTTAAAAAAAAGTAGGGGGAGGAATTATTGCTTTAACTGGCAATGTAACAATATTGCTGGCAAAGTTTCATTACTCAATTAATCATGTATGAGACAAGATTTTTCCTAGAATCACTTTCATCATACATCACATCTGTCTGTCCGTCCATCCATCCATCCATCCATCCATCCATCCATCCATCCATCTTTTTCTGTAATTTTAAATTATACTGCACCAGTTATTCCATAATGAGTCCAAAATGTTAGATAAAATGTGAGAATATTGGAATCCTGGTCTAGATATTTAGCAATGCTTGCACAGTGAATGGAAAATATTTTGTCTAAAAAGCCTGTGATGAGAAATTGTACCCTTTAGGTCCTAAACATTATAGTCCCGTTTTTAAGCTCCCCTTGTTTGCCAAACTGCTGAAGAGGTCAGAGCAGGCCTGCAGAACATGCAGATGGCACACAGCCCACTTAGCAGCCTTGTGCGGCCTGCCGGCATTTGTTGAAAAACAATCATTCCACTGCTGCCACCAGGAAGGATCCGCCACCAGAGTTTTCACAGCCACTTCTGTCCCAAAAGGCACACTGCCGAGCGCCTCCAAGCTTCACGGACGCTGCCAGCTCCAATGCTGCCACTGTGCTGTCAACAGCTGATTGGTGTGCCACGTATTCTTCTGTGGCCTGCAATCATGCTTACCAATCTGGCACTTTCCCCTCTATGAGTTGGGCAGGCCTGGGTTAGCTGGTGCAGTGCCCCTTTGTCCATTCCTTGGGGACATTCAGGAACTTTTGATTCCATTAATTATGTGTATCTTTCTGATTTAACTGCGGTAGGCAGAGAAACTGCTTTGCAATGATGGATTTCCAAAGAATTGTGCTGGAGGAGGAGAGAGAGTGTGTCTCAGCGCTCAGCAGGTAGACAGCAGGACTCAGAAACTACTCAATGTCAGACGCAGTTAGTACTTGCATGGGAGGCCACCAGAGATTCTAGGGATGTAGGCTTTCCTGGAATATTGAAAAAATCCTAGAAGAATGCAGCAGCAAGTCACTTCTATGATATTGCCAAAATAAGATGGATGTGACCATGAAGTCCCTAGAAGTCAAATTCCATCCACCTTCCATTGGATGACAAGGTTCATTGTTTAGAAGTTCTCTTAGATCTGACCCTAAATGCTGGTGCAGCAGCTGTTATTTTCAAACATTTGATTAAAACAAAACTCTTTAAGTGCCTATTGTTATATAGACTATGTCTGTATTCTGATACAGTTAAACTGCCAGAAACTGTGTTGCAACATCCAAAGACAATTGAAGATAGCTCAGTTCCCATCTGTATGTTAATTCAAGAGATGGGGGATCAAGTAATCAGCCATGCACAAAGATCAAAGTTATCAATCAACCCAATTAATATGGAAAACAGCATTTCATTTTGTATTTTTTTAAAGAAATCTAATTAAAAAGAAGAGAAGTTTAAGCAACCTGTGACCTAAGAAGTCAGTGGAACTGTTCTGGAAAGCTGCTTAATATTATTTAATATATCCAACATCTTCATGATGTATAGAAGTGAGCATGGCATATACTATCCTTCTACAAAACTTAAATGATGGAATGTAATATGGAAATCTCATGAATCAACTAAAGAAAATCCTAACCAGCTGTAAATGGCATCCATTCAACAGTTAAGTATTACCTCCTAAAATAATGAGATCTAAGATCGCCTATTGATTAAATTTACCTTAAAGCTGTCATAGGAGATTCCTGCTCTTACAAATTGGTGGCTCGAGGGACTAGTAACAAGAGATAAAGCTTTTCACTTCCCAAAAATTGCTGGTTCAAAGCTAGCTCCAGTCAGCACCAATCAATAAAGGCTTACTATATAATAGCTGCTGGCATATGCTTCAAAATACGTCAGTGCTGTTAGTGTATTTTTTAATGGAAACCCATCAGCATAAAACAGTTTGCAAGTAGTTTCTGTAAGGATGTCAATATTCAATAAGAATGTAGGATAAAGTATGCATAAGTAAAGTCTGTTATGATATTTTAAGTCACTTTAAAGGAGAATATTACTTCTGCTCCTTAAGCAGGCAAAGGATATTCATAAAAGTAACCTGAATTCATTAGAATTAAAATGATATACTTCTCCATGCATTTTGCTGAATCTTCTGAATGTAATTTTAAACCATGGACAAAAATAGCAGTTTTCCTACTCTAACTAACTGAGAATATAAGGAAGACCTGGAGTATGAACTGGTGGGGATTATGAACTCCAGGATCTTGGACTTAGAAGACAATGTAGTTTCCTTGCATGGCTGTTTCTCCACCAGTATTCACATTGCGCTGCATCTGATCTTGGAGGCATTATGTGCTAATGATCACTGCCAGACATATCTTTCATTAACCTGTCTAATCCCCTTTTAAAGCTATTTAAATTTATCATTATAATCTATATTTATTTTAACTATGTGCCATGTATGATGCATTTCCTTTTATTTGTTCTGAATTCATAATGAGACCAACTTCTTGTATTGAGGAAGGAGAAAAATTTGTGTCTGGTTTCTCAGCATCGTGTGTAATTGTATAAAGTGCTTCCAAGTGTCTTTTTCTAGGCTAAAAATCCAAATATGGTATTTTTTTTTTCATAAATCATTTTGGTTCTCCTTTACTATGCTTTTTTTTTTTAGCACACACTATTTCTTTTATCAATGAAAAGCACAAACACCATTCTTTCTTCAGTTTTGCTAATCCTTCTTTCTTGATTTTTGCTTCTTTTCTTCCTCTTCCATTCCCTCTCCCTCTTCTTCTTCTTTTCCTCCTCTCTCTCTCAACAAACCTGCTGTACATCATAAAAGTGTTTCATGTTTGCTACTCATTTTAAGGTTTGTAGAAGAGTAACAAAGCCTAGGCGCAAACTATTATGCCCATGAACAGAAGCTAGAAGCACTTCATGTACCAAATGTTTTCTTCCCAATACAAATGTATAGCAGATTCCAGATGTAGAATCTGCAGACCAATCTACGCACTGAAGAACAGTCCTACTGCAACAGGCCAAGTCCATCTCAATCCAGAATTACGAAGGAGGAAAATCCAATGCAGCAGCCACACTGGAAGGATATAAGATTACTATAGGATAACGCTTGCCAGGAATCAGTCATTCCTTATTCTCCCCCTCCATTTGCAAATGTGACCTTTTGCTCAGGTTTAATGCTAATGTTGCGTCTAGGGATACTTCCATTATAGAGGTGCAATAAGCATATAGGTATCATGTTGAGGTTGACTGGATTACAAACTCATCAGTGCTGATCACTTTGAGTGTAAGACGCCGTGATAGCACATTTTTTAAAGACAATCAGAACCTGGAAGCCTTTTGTGAACTTGTCTCTGGGCAAGGGGACACCTCAGCAGCCCATCTAAATAGCCCACACTGGGCAGATGCAGTATAAAAACCTGATATTTTGGTAATCTGTTAGAGGATTTTTTTTTTTTTTGAGACATCAATAACCTACCAAACTAGATGCTGCCTGAGACTTGCTGTCTTTCTCCTAGGGATTAGTTTAAAAGCCACTCTGCCCCATTTTATTATTTTATTTATTTTTATTATTGAGAAGAAGAAAGAAAAACACACACAGAAAGTGCTTTAACAAAAAAGTGAAAGAAATATAACAAAGAAAAAAACATGTTAATATGTCATTACAACAGTAAACAATTACAATTCTATATATTCTTATCTAATGCAAATATTATTCAAGTACATCTATATGTTTATTATTTATTATGATTATTAATTTATTATTTCATCCTGTATAAGACTCCACACCACTTCAGTTTGCTCCAGAAGTTTCCCTGTGCCTAACAGATCTATGCTTCTCTGCTGGGCAACACCGACTCATCCACACATTGAGTCCTGTGGGTTCTGCCTGTCTAGCTGACCTGCAGGTAGAACAGGTAGAATTTTTAAGAATACCACTTTAGGAGTCCTAGACTTTAATCTGTTACCTAGCAGTCTAAATCTGGCTTCCAGGACTGACTGACTGACTACATTACCCAGTGACACTGCTGCCAACATAGACCGTGACTGCTGCCCCCTCCTCAGCACAATCCATCAGCTTATCTAGATGGCAGGTGACTTTCACAACTTTGGCACCAGCCTGTTGAGATGGGACCTGTTCCTAAAGGCTTGACCAAACTCTACTCATTTTTAAACAGAACTGTAAGTATTGTTTCTACATTTAATACTGAAATGGTTTTAGGATTTGCTTATTTATAGCAAAAAAAGCAATGTCATGAATCCTTTTCCCTTCCTGATATGCATATTGTACTCCAGCTTTTGCAAAAGTTGCAACTGTACATTTGTTAGGAGGGTCAGAACTACTGTTTATTCCTCCTCTCTGAACTTCTACTGCTTGTGCCAAGCACTTGATAATATGGAAGGAGGGAAAGAGATAATGCTACAGGCCATAAACAAATTGTAGTAAAAAGGGATGGCACACTCTGTTCCTACAATTCCTACAATAACAAAATGTCACAATCAAATAGTAAATGGGGCTCTTTTGAACCAAGCCTGATGGCTGAAAGTGGGACGCCTGGTCCAATCACCAAAGAAAACCCAGATCAAGCAAAAGAAGGACTGGAGCCAATCAAGAATTCAGGAAGGAGGGATCTCTGGGAAGAAGCCTAGATTTTCAAGGAAATAAAAGATGTTGAGAATCTGACAAACAGAGAAGTGTTTTTCTTCCACTGAATTCTCTAATTTCCAATACTTTTTAATGAACTCTCATCTCGATGGGTAGAGTGCTTGACTGGCTATCATTCCTTCCTATACCTGTATCTGGAGTAAATTCCTTTATAGCCTTTGTTATTTTAATCATTCTTGAGTGGGTACAACTAGGCAAGAAATTCAGGATAATATAATTTTCAGTGTAATCTGTAAATGGAAGTTACTATTAAAATGAGCTATGTCTTGCTGGTGTGAGTGATGCCTAAATGACAGCTGGAAAAGGGGATGAAATCCATAATCCCAATAAGGAGATACACATAAGCTCTGGATTTCAGTATAATAAGAACACTTAGAATAGGGAGGAGCAAGGACACTCTTCATGTAAGAGGATCTAATGCAGGTCTACTCAGACATCAGTGGTGCCTTGCCCATCCTGGTTCTATAGTGTAATGGTCCAAGGGCAGGGCTACTGGTGGCCTGGCCCTCCAATGACACCACAGGAGTTTGAACACTAAGTAGAGGGAGGATGTGAATGGGTGATTACCACTGAGGATTCGTCACTCTGAATTGATTTTCTGTGCTCATTGTCTCTTGTACTCCTATACTAACTTGAGGATGCAACCTCATTAAAACAAGAGAGCAATAAGACATGTCACTAGCAATTGTTCACCTTCTTGTTCACCTTGCTGAGAAGGCGAGATATTGACTGTAGATATCTCTGGGCAGTTTGTGCTGGAACTGAGGAATGCATGAAAGTGGAGTCATTACTCTGTTCCCTGGAGGAGAATTCTTGGTATAAGAAGTTGTAGACTGTGTCTGTCCTGTGGGAACACTTTATTTCAGAATACTGTTGTCCTTCATCGAGACTCTTGTTCTTTCTGACAGCCAGGGAACTATCACCCTAGGAGTGGGACAAAGCTGTAACACCCCAGAAAATCTGGTCAACTTATCTTTCTGGCTGTTTAAGTATCTCTAGCTAAGCCACGCTGGTTCAGGGCAATAAGCATACACCCCAGAAACTTAAGGTGTTGGACTAGGAGTAGGGAGACTTTGGGCCAGTTACTCTCTCTTAGTCCAACCTACCTCAGTTAGTGTCATAGGAGAAAAACAAAAGTGAGTCCTTTGTACGTTACCTTTTACTTTTGAATGAAAGGTAGGATATAAATTTAATAAACAAGCAAACAAACAAATTTACTGCACTGACACAATAAAACTTATATTCAATAGGCACACAAGTGTACATCTGATACTCTATGCAATATACTGGGAAGCATTCTCTTCATTGCTAGGCTTTCCTCCTTCATACTCGTGATTGTCGATAACTTGGTTTTCTTGTTTGATTTTTACATGTGATTTTTTTTTTCTTTCAGAGAGCCAGTCTCTAAAATGTTGCAGTATGAAGTTACCCTGACTGGCCATTGTTGTAAAAATAGTAATTCTCTTGACTGAAAATCTTTACCACTCACAAAGACACAGTGCCATCTTGTGTTCAAATAAAAGACACTGTGGTTTGCAAACTGATACCTAGCAAGCTAATTTCTCTACTCTCAGTCAATTGAGAGTCCTGACTTGACTGCTTTTCCCCTAATATCAGCCTACTATGCTTTCAGTGTTAGATTTTGGTACTTTATGACCTTTACGAAAGTCCTGCCACAATGAATTAGTTAGCCTCTAACAATACAGCTACAGTGCTGTACACTATTGAATGTAACCAGAACAGCATCTCTCTTATCTCAGGACTGGAGCTGTTGAGATGATGGAAAACTGCTGCCAGCTAGGACAGACAACACTGCTTTCTATAAATGTCCTCTCCATGATGTGAAAAAACAATTAACCAATTTCCCAGTATCAGGAAGTTGCATGTTTCCCCATCCCTGTCAGAGACAGCCTAGGACATGGACCACAGATAACAGAAATGCAAAACGGCATGATAATATTACATAGGATATTCAATGTATATACTGTATTATTTAGAAAAGGGGAAAGAATATGACATAAGAAGCTGCGATGCATTCCCATCTCCCATATGTACAACTCTGCCCTATAAATCTCTTTGGTTTTGTCACAACTAAAACATTGCTGACTGAAATGAATATTAGTAAAATTTGTCACATACTGTCATCATTGCTTTCTCTAACCCCGCATTAAAAGGGTCAGACAGGCACTCTTGCTTTGAGAAACCCGTGTGTGGAATACTAACAAATTGGAGTCTAGATAATAGTTCACCATTATGTTAGACTCTGTAAGCCGAAGATAAACAAAGCATTCATTTCCTTACCCAGACTGTGCTCCTCCTTTTTTCTTTGTTCCCATGCTGTACTGTCCACATATGCGGCTGAAAGAATACATCTTTTACCTAATAAAAGAGGTCCAAATCAATATATAAAGAAAGTCCTTTAGAATGTTTTCACATTGAAAACTGCATTAGTCATCCTATTTGCATGCATTATAATCATTATATTAAATGCACCAGGTTGCTATGATACCAATTGCTATTTTAGGAATCATTTAGCTTCTATCATCCTTTAGGATGAACTGCTATAAAAACTGGATCCCTGAACAATCTCTGTCAGCAATAGTTATGGCTTTAAAATATCCTACAACCTCACTATAAATTATATTTCTATAAAATTCCAACAGATGTTATCCAATAAATATTATGATCTATCCAGGTAGTCCAAGGATAGTAATATAGCATTTTCCATAAAAACAAGTTAATTAAAACTTGAAATGTTAATCTGTTCAAAAGATATTAAAAAGATATTAATCAGAATAGCAGTATGATTTCTGTAGTGTAGTGGTTATCATACTATCAGAATAGCAGTATGTAAACTCCCTACATCTTAAATGGATACAAAAGCTTTATTTATTTATAAGGCTTACAGAATGCTCCATTTGAAGCCAACTCTGAGTGGCATATAATTCTCATCTTTGTACATTCAGAGTAAAAACACAGAACTATAAATTATAACAACAGAACAAATCAATAGGAAAAATGTATGAAAATAAATACAGTAAATGCATATAATTAATATGATAGCTATTTCTAGAGTCCTAATAAACACAAAAACATTGCCTGGTAACACCTTATACAGAAATTAACTTCCCAAGAATGCTCTCAACATTTCTTTAGAATGAATGTTAAAAATGCTGTAGTCCTAACTCCTAAAGTGAAAATCTAGTTGTGAGAAGTACCCTGGTGAGGATTCAGAAGGCAAAGAGATGGGAAGATCTGAAATAACATTCTCAATGGATACTGAGCAGACAAGACTTAAATCAATAACAGTCCCCCCCCCCCCCATCCCAACTGTTCCCATTATAAAGTACATACATCTAAATCTTATTTTGGCCTTTACCAAGTAAAGTTCATGAATGGCTTCCAAAAGCAATGTTGCAACAATAGTCTAGCTCACACTCCTGCCAGCTGTTTGGAAAACTGCTAGATGTGTGTTTTAGTGGAAAACAGAGAGGAATCCAGCGCAGAACAGACGTTAAAGCTTTCTGTCCAAACTGAATATTTTGCAAACTGCTGCCAATGTGTCTCTGTTTGAACAGGGTTCTCTTAAGCCAGTTAGAATCAAGCCCGTATGAGCACATGACAGGAGGAGATTAAGAGTGCAGTGCAAATATGACCTGAGAAAGAAATTCCGTAGAACTGGGGTCAATTACTAAAAAGACTCTACCTCTAATCCCACAAATTGATCTTGTAGCCAAAATCTGGCTCACCTAAAGCAATCACTCTGAAGATACAACAGAATTTTATTAGGCATGCAAACAATACAGTGCACACTGGGCTCCCAGAAAATCATTGGCAGCTTGTTGGGCAGCCCTGAGCGAAGGCAGGACCATAGCTTGTACCCTTGGCCTACTACATTGCAAAGGCAAGACAAAGGCAGACATGGTGTAAATTACAGCATGACATTGTGATGTTGGCATCTCTTCCATCTAGGTCATACTATCCCTGAGATATGGTCAGTAAATATAAACAGGTTTACTGGGACACAAGTTCCTGATTGATTCCTCTCCCTGTCCCCACTCAGGGTCAATTCAGCTTGCTGTGAATGTTTTCTTACAAGGGCATTTTAAGCAGTTCATATGTATGGGGTGGTAGTGAATGCAGCTTACATGTGTATAGGGACGGGGGGAAGTACCTTTTGCCACCACAATTTTGAAGATAAAAAAGTCAATATAGCATCCAGTTGGCTGTAACAATAAGGCTCATATAGAATAAACCGCTCCCTCTACTAGGACAAATCCCATATATTTAAAACTTAATAAACTCAAATCTCAAAAATGTGGGAGGAAGGAAAAAGAGATTATCCCGGCAAAAAAGTTTCCAAATGAGATCAAATTAGTGCATAATATAAAACAATGTCTTTGGTAAGAAAATAAGATACTTCCGTATACAATGCTGAGAAATACTATGTTGAGAAAGACTTACAGAGTGTACTAAGAAAAATGAGAAACAAAAGTGTTTATGAATGCTAAGTAAAGTCCAGGCTGTCTTTTCCATATGATGTGAAGAAACTTTGCCCTTGTTCTGTGGAAGAATACAGGATTTACTTTTAAAAGGGGCAGAATTCCATCCCTGGCATTGTCACACACAAGAGTGTGTGTCTAAAACCTGCAGACCAGAAATGGGCACCACCTCCTTTTGGTGTACACCTGGCTCCTGCCCCATCTGACTTTTGTTCAAATAACAATTTTTCCTTTTTTTTCCTTTTATTTCTGTAAAC